TAACCAAAAGGGTTATTTGTCACAGTTGCAGCTAGCCTGTAGCTGCCAAATAAAATTGGCTATATCAGATCCCCAAACTCAGCCAGCCTAGAAGTAAAACAAGTCTCCAGATGGTGCAGGTATCGGTTAGATTCAAACCCAAGCAGGGACCTCAGCCAATCATGTTCAATCGAGAAAGCAGACACAGCCAAACAGCTGGGCGGTGCTAAAATCTCTACCAATCAGATGTCTAGACCTGGGAGTTTTGAATGCGCTATATAAGAAAGTTCCAAACAATAAAACACACTTTTTGTTGAGGACCCTTGGGAGTTCATATTGTTTTTGTCTCCAACCAATGACACCTAATGTAATACAGAAGCACATGGGTCAACTGAATTTTTCTTTGTATTGCTACACAAAGAAAGTTAATGTATACATACCCTTGATCTCTGAAAGCATGTTTTAGTCTAGTCCAAAAAGACAGAAGTGGTTCGAATTACATACTAGATGTATATTAGACTTCATTACAGTGAAATGGCTGTATATGAAAGGAAAATCACTCTCCGGTTGCTAAAATGACAAGTTATTGTTAAATCCTTATCTGGAATTCTCTTATAGGAACATTCACGTACTCAGTATACTTGGATGCAATTCATAAAATGCAACTGCACTTTGGTTTTATCTTTGGGCTTGCAAATCAATCAGTATTAAAAAAAAAATCTGATTACTTAAAGGCATTCAGGGCAGCAAAAGCACAAGACAATTAAACAATTTTTTTAGTATTTAAAACAATAAAGCAAGACTTTGTAATAAGCACCTAGCTTTTGACTTTGGCATTTCTCTGAAAAACAGAAATGGAAAACCAGAAGATTCCATTGCTTTTACATGGAACTGCTGATGACTTTGAAAACTGACAGCTGCATGACTGCACTGACTCAGAACAATGTGATTACTGCAGTTAGGTGAATCCAAGCAGCACACCTCCATCCTTGGGTTCAGCTGGAGCTTTCTGATTTGTTACACCACTTTGACTTCATGTCCCTTGGAGAACAGGCAAGTTATGAGTCTGCTGCAGCTCTCTGTTATTCTGGATGCAGAGAGATTCCGGGATCATGTCTCTTGTGAAGAGAAATCTCAGGCTGTTAATATTCTAACTCACAGTATTCAAACTGTGATCCATTCATACTCAGTCTACCAACAGTGTAAATCAAACCTCTCCTTGGCTTGACTAAGGAAAGCTGAATACACATTAAAGGCAATCATATAAGTTGGAAAAAAACACCAAGAACATCAAGTCCAACCTTCAACTGAATACCACCTTCTCAACTAAGCCATAGCACTGTCATGTACAGTTGTTTCTTCAACACTTCCAAGGATGGTGACTCCACCACTTGCCTGGACAGCCCATTCCAATGCTTAACCCCCCTTTCAGTAAAGAAATTCTTCCTGATGTCCAACCTGAATCTCTCCTGGCTGTTTCCTCTCATTCTGTCACTGGTTGGCTGGGAGAGACCAAGCCCCACGTGGCTACAAACTCCTTTCAGGCAGTTTGTAGGGAGCGATAAGGTTTTTCCTGAGCCTCCTTTTCCCCAGGCTAAACAACCCCAGCTCCCTCATCTGGTCCTCATAGACTTATAGACTTTCTAGAACCTTCACTAGCTCTGTTACCCTTTACTGGAGTCACTCCTACAAGTTGTGTTCTACCTTATTTTGTCTCCCTTGTCTTGCTGAGAAGGCAAGTGATAGAGAGGCTTGGCAGGCACCTGGTGTCCAGCCAAGGTCAACTCACCAAAACTGGTCAGATTTTAATGCTATGAGCTCCAACTCTGGCATCCCCTGATACACTAGCCTAGAAAACCTGATTTCCCCAAAAGCTCTGCCTTCACAGCAAAATTAATGGTTTCAATGTATCTGGACATAATCCACAACACAATTTGTAAGTGAAAACAGATACAAGTTAAGTAATCTCACACACCACTAAAGCTACAGTTTGATGTAAGCTTTTGTTATATTTAGAAAAATTTGCTGAGTAGCCAGTAACCATACATTTAAGCATTTGCAAATGTTTTAGCCTTTTATTTTTTTAAATACAACTTAGTTGAATTGTTCAAAATAATGAATAGCAAAGATGGACTCAGGTACTAGGTCTGAAAATGTCAACAGCAAAATTTCTACAGTTTGCTGAAAACTTTGAGGGTTCAGATTAGCTGTGGTTTACCTATTTCCACCAATTTTTACATCGAGGTTCTAAAGAAGAGCAGTATTAGACCAAATACTCTAAATATTCTGTTCAAAGAATTCTATATCTAATAATAAATTTTAGAACCTTCAGGACTTCAAAGGCATAAAATATACTGAATGTAATCTGAAGAGGAAATTCTAAAAATTAAGAGTTTACTTTTCATGGTATTAGCAAAAAACATGGTAATGAAATTGCTTCCACTTTCTAGTAGACTTTATAATCAATATTTAATTATTTATAAGATTTTAGGGATATATCCTAATCCAAGTAGATAAAATATCAAGTGTTGAAATATCAGTGTATCTTAACTTTTTTCAAAATATTAAAGTACAATAGAAATACATTGCTATTTCAAAATACAAACTTCTGCTGGTGTGAATAAACACAGTGACTAGCATATAATATTTTTGTTGCAGTCAAGACTTCAGGATAGACAATTCTTTTTATCAAACTGTTGAAAGTGAAGACATCATAGATAGCTGGGTCTGTATAACTGTTAGCCAATGATTCAGCTTCTATACAACAAGACTATACCAAGAAATGCCACCAGGTCTTTAATTACGTGGTTGAACACTATGACTGATCAACTAGTTCTTGTGCAGCAGGCACAGCAACAGAACTGTCCTAGAAAGCTGAGTATCTGTTCAAATTAAATGAATGTTTGGGGTGAAAAAGCAGGCTTTTCTGTGAAAGTTTGCCTTTTTTACTACAAGTATCCATACCAGTTCAATTCTTTCTATCTACATTTCATCCCATACCACACAGTTCCCCTTCACCTTTCTTTATGGCATAATTCATCAGTACAACTGTACTGAAGAAACTTGCTGATTTGGACATATCAATAGCATACCTGTGTCTAGTTGAGTCAGCAGCAATGTGGTAACCCTGTCTGGGAACAGCAAAGCAGCAGGACTAAGCACTGAAAGTCGTTGCCTGTTCTTTAAAATTTGCTGTAATCAAGCCCAATGAAGTTCATCCATCTCACAAACTTCTCGATCGGCGATGAATTAAATTAGAAAAATAATCTAGCCAACATGGGCTGTATAAGCAATACGAGGCTTTAGTTTCCCCAACAGTCTTTCAAGTGACTTATTACTTCCCTGAAACAATGGCTTTAACTCATTGCTTGCAGGTGGTGAATCAGATTGTTCTGAAAAAAACAGAAACATCAGAAAAAAAGATTAAAGTTTACAGAATAATTTCAACCATGAAAGGTCAGCTAAAATTTTTTGTTTCTTTCTCATGGCAAAATACATATAAATTCCACTACTTTTCATTTTGAATTAACAAGATAAACATGCTACCTAAGAAATTTGTAGTATGATGCAGATCTGTATCCCAAAACAAAGAGATTATGGATTTACATATGGAATGGCTCCTGCCTGATGTGTCTAGGACTTATTCTGTTCAAGTGAGAACAGAGAAAGCTCCATCTCAAGAGGGAGCTGCAAGGTGCTCATGCTACCAATTGCTTTGGATGAAGTAAGTACACAGGTGGGGAAAAAAGTAAAACCACTATCTTCAGCAGTCACCTAAAAGAATGAAAATGACAAGGTCAAAACTGAATGAAGATACATATCTGGATGAAACAATTTTGTTAAGAAGATTAAAAGCAATCTCCTTTTACACTGAGTTACAGAACCAATCTCAATTGGAATAGCTATGATTGCAAACAAAGGCAATAGAAGCAAAGCAGGTATCATGTTATCAAAAAATTTGAGAAAGAAAAGCAACTCAAAAATTAGATGGATGTATATGTCAATCTGTGCATCACACTGACTTTTCAGCAGCCTTTACAGTGTACCCATACTTTTCTTCTCTATTGCCTAAGTGGTATAACCAAACCAACTTCATGCTTACTCTGAAAAATCTTCAAGTTTTCTTTATATCTCTAATGAGATGTCTCATTAGAGGCACACACATTAAAAAAAATCAACTATCACCACATTAATGAAATTGAGATTTTGAAATCCCCTTTAATTTTACTTACAGTAATGGGAAAAAAAAAGTCAGCACACAAGAAAGTTAAATAGAATCTGAAAACACAGAAGAATATTCAAGGTTTTATTTCATGCTGAGGAAGAGCACTTTTAGACTACATGGTTGAATTGTTGTGTCACTGAGCCTCTCAAAGCAGCATCCTCTTCATGATCAGAGTTTGGATGCTTAAGTTAACTTGAAGAGTGGAGTGAAGGTTATGCATTCTCCTTTAGATTCAGACTGAAATCTGGCTTCATCCCTCAGTTTTACGACATTTTTTCTTCTGAACAAAACCACACAATTTCTAGTTCTCTGTTTTCTCCTAATACTCACCTGGAGGAAGAGGTTTTGCACACCAAAAAATATATATATATATACCATAGATACATTGATGGAAGACACAAAGATGAATTCAGACAGAGCTGAATTGTCAGAGAAATTAAAATACCTGGCCTCTAAGACTTTCATACATTATTATATCAAGGTCAAGGGAATAATGACAATGCCCAGAGTATACAAAAGCATTCCTTGACACAAATGAAAAAAAAATTCTAGTGCATGCAGTGGAAGGTCCAATAGGCAAGTTGGCTGTGTCTCTGCAGCATTTTATGGAAACACATCACAGAGAAGCCTCTAGAACAGAACACAGAGGCCCCTGGATGGGAACAGAACATAATGCAATTGTAGAGATGAAAAAAGGCCATGAAAGCACCTGCCTTCGCTGACTACAAATAGGAGCATTCCTTTCTTTAGCTCATAGGGTACTGTAAACTAAGCACAGTAATTTAATGTGTCTCACCTTATTCAGAGAGCTGCACAAATACTGAGGCTGCCCTCTGCTGTTACCTTGAGAGTCCAGCTTATTTTAGAAGAAGCAGCTTTCAATAATGTTACCTTCAGAGTGCTCACTATTTTCTGACATTTCTTCAGTCTTTTTTCCCATCCAGTACACTGCTGAAACCAGTCACACCATAACCATTACTCATCAATTTGCTAAAATTTACAATTTCACTTTTTCTCTGAGCAGGCCTGTAAATACAAATATATTAAAGAGAAACAAAAGCAAAAGTAAAAAAAATGGGGGCTAGGTGGAGAAATAATATTTTTCACAGAAAAGACATTATTATAAATAAATTATAAAATAATTTCTTTCTAATTATAACATTAATTTTAAAATATAACCATTTATAGCTTTATAATTTATAACAAAATAATGTAGAACATATGTTCTACATTAAAAAAAGCACAGAAGTATGCCTAATTTACTGTGTAAATTTACTGTGTAAATTTACTGTGTAAATTTACATGAGAAAAGCTATCTGTTTCATTGGAATTTTACATGTATAATGCTTACACAGTTCTGGTTTTAAAGACAAAATGTGCAAAAGGGAAATCCCACAAAGAATTTGTGAGTGAAAAAGGCTGACAATATTCATTCTGTAATGCACAAAAGTGAAATTATGTCAAAAATTTTCTCTTGAATTCATTTGACAGTTTAAATACTTATTTGGCAGCATTAACATGGTTCTAAAACATACTAGGATTACTGATGACTGAGCAATATTTCTTTAGGACCAAGTATGCAGATACAATTCAGCTGTGAACACAGCTGATTGTGTGATTACATCACATCACACATGACACAAAAATTTGCTTAAAACACCTCGGTGTTCATTAGAGTATTTTTGCTCTGTCTGATCTTATGGAGCCTACAGTTTATGTCTTTCCTTAAATCATCTCTGTAACCTACACGGACAGAACTAACAATGTAGATTATCATTTTCACCTGTTCACTGGTATTAAGAAAAAACCCAATTTAGAATACCGCAAAAGTCTGCTACATGAAGATATGCAACTCTATGCTTAGTTTTCATAACACAAAGTTATATTGAATAATTTTCATATATGAGTTAAAGTGCTATTATTATAGCTGCTTTAGACACTTTAAAAACTATTTTAGCATCACATATGATAGCAAATTTTACAGCAATTAAGATCCACAAGGTCCATACATATATCCACTAGTTCCTACAACTTCACAAGGAGCAATTTTACCTGTACACATGAACAGTTGCAGGTGTTTAATGATTTTCATGAATGTACTACTTATATGGGTGGGAAGGAAAGCTTATTTGTTCCAGTAAATTCCTTATTTGTAGAAACAGTTGGCATTCTGCTTGGATATTTAGAGTTTATAGGTGAGAACTTACCTGTGCTAGAGAAATCTTAACTCAAACAAAAGGAGTTATGAAAAAAATAACCAAGAAGATAGTATAATAACATAGCCTTCAAAAGTGAGGGTGATATTAAAGGCATAAATGTGTTCAAATTTGCATGTCTTAGCTACATTATTTCCATAAGTAATAGTAATGAACTATTGAGGAATAACAAAAGATAAAGCAGCCCCTTAGTTATTCTACATGAGATTAGCTGTTTGCTTTTTCCGCAAAATGCTTTACACAAATCTTTCCCTCACAGTACACTTCTGTCACTCTATCAGGAATGGCGAGAAGAAGCGACACAGACTCTCATGGAGTTGATCAGGAGAATTTTTCGTAGTTTATTACTTCAGGTCTGTTTTATAGACCGATACGTGGAAAGTACAGAAAGGAAACTCTTATTGGTTAGCAAAGTGCTACATCACCATCATTGGTCAGTGGGGCACACTACCCCCTGACCTTCTCCTGCAAAGAAAACAAGGGACAGACAAACAGCAACTGCAAGGCTGTCTGCTGTCTTTGAGGATTGTTTTAAATCCTCCTTATGAATTCCCAGGCTACTTTCTCAGCCTGGACTGAGAAAGCTATGTGGCCTGTAATTTCTACAGGCTCTCTGTTTCAGAGTTAGCATCCACACACTTCTACCCAAAATTAAGCTTCAAATTCACACTTATCCATTGCAACCTCTCATCTTGGTCCTTGATCTCTGTATGCAGAATATGAAAACAGATCACTGTTACTAAAGTCAGGAGGACTAGAAATTAATTTACAGTTCAATTGCTACTTCTTTTTTTGTTTGTTTGGTTTTTGTTTTTTAATAAAAAGCATAAAACATCCTATATAATAAGAAAACTGTTGTGGTTATTAATTAGAGGTTTGATATTCAAACAAATACATATATATTAGGGGAAGCCTACAACAGGAAAAATATACTTTATTTTTATCATCTTTCCAATGACAGGTAAATAAATTCAGTATTGACTAAAAGACTGAAGGATGGCACCTAGAAAGCCAGGGAAAGACAACACACACTCCAGAAGTGAAAGTGGGAAAACCTGTAAGTAGTGGAGAAACATGAGCAACACATATCAGAGCTCTTTATCTTAACTTTGATCAAAATCAACAGCTACTAAAGGGTCAACTTACTTCCCTCTCAAATAAAAGCATGAAATTAAATATCGTCAACAATTCCCAGATATTTGTCACTGATAGTTGCTAAGAAATTATGAGTTAAAAAAACAAGACATCTTTAATGACTACTTACAGCTTCCTTTGTTGCATGAATGAGACAAGGGGGATGTGGGAACTGACAATGGTTAAATAAGAGATTTTTAGGCTTCAGGCATTAGCTTGAGCCTGTGTGAAACTAGTTCTCATGCTGACCTGAGAAACCATAGGGAGGAATCCAGACAGTCCTCAGAGAAGGAAAACAACCTTTGCAGGTGTTGTTTGGATCCTTGTTGTTTACTTGCAAGAAACACTCAAGGGGTGTTGTTCCTAACTGTCCAGTGATGGTGATGTGTTGGTTTAATGACCAATGAGAGTTTTACCTCTCGGACCTTCTCAAAAGTGTCTATAAAAGAAGATCTGGAAGAATAAAATTTGCTGTCTTGCACAATCCAGCTAGAAAGTCTATGTTGTGATTCCACTGTTCCTAATTTAGGGTGACAGGGGGAAGTCCTGAAGACAGCAAAAATTTTTTCAAAGCTTATTAATGAAGTTTTTGTGTTACAGTAATATATCCTTTTAATTAGAACCTATATATTATTTAACTATTTTCTTTTTTAAACATGCAACACATGAGAGCACCCCATGGAATAAGATACATTAGTTGCAAATTATTTACTTATGGTAACTAACAGTGAAATGTACTTTTGCTCTGTAAACTTACAAGTACACTAAGGATAACAATTCTTTCAACCTATGTGGACGTAGCTACTGAAATACAGTTAACAGAGCAAAAAATCATGAAGTGAAAAAATTAGATGTGTCAACAGCAGTCACACTTGGATTGCAGACACTACAAAACACCCATGAAAACCTCTGTAAGAAGATTCCAAAATGTAAACACACAAAGGACTTCTCAAGGAGCCTGTGCACACTGAGTATGAAAAGAGCAAACAAAAGTATAATGGCCTTTGAACACATTAATCAATGAAATAATTAAGAAACCACTAAAAAAGCAGATCTGAATGTTCAGAGAATGTAAGTTTTATTATCTGGAAGAAAGTGAAGCCTCAGACAGACAGTTGTATTGATTCTGAGCCAGGATGTAAATGCAAACACATAGAAGTACTGAAACCCCTTCAGACTTCAGTGGAGTCAGACTGGGACATTTGTCAAAGAAGAGATGAGATTAGCAAGAGCATGCAGTATTAGAGGCTAGAGCAGAGGCAGCTATGTGAGATGAAAAGGAGGGTCTTTGTCCAACCTGGAGGTTAAAAACCACATCAGCTGCTTAGAACTGCTTTTCAAGTTTGTTCACATTGTTTGCTGAAGCAGCCTATTTGTGCTTTACTTTCAAAAATGCCATCCTATTGTGCAGAAATTATATCACTGTCTTCCATCTATCACTAGACTGGACTACTTCAGACTTGACATGAAAGTTGCAGATCCAGGACACAATTACCTACAGTTTCAACTGACAAAAGCAACCTCAGGTGACATTGGTCACATGCTGAAGGCAGAATGGCATGCAGGGCAACACAGAAACACAACTCAATTTGATAGTCAGGATACACAAATAGCAGAAGGAGATGAGATTTTCCTCTTGACATCAAACAGAAGCACCAGGAAATGAGGTCTAGTAATTAAAGTGTTAGTTAAAGAACAAGGAGAGATTTTGACTAGAGAAAAATGTTCAAACAGAACATTGTTTGTTCTGAACATTGAAAAAATGTTCAAACTGTCCAAAATAAAGTTAAGGAAAAAAAAGGGAAAGGAAAGGCAAAGAAAAAAGTCTTCAAGGCTGTGAGCAAGAGCATTGTTTTAAATGTTGTCTTTCTCAGCATTAAATAAGAGGCTAGCATAAGCTGCAGGGATCCAAACACTCCCTACTGTTCAAGTAAACTAACTAATGACAAAAGTAGCAAGGAAACAGATCAGAATTTGGCTTTGGAGGGCAGCTGCAATCCATTCAGATGTTATCTGTTACTTTGCTAGGCAAATTCAGCATTAAAAGCAGACTCTTGTGCGACTACACTCCAATGATTACACCTGAGGGGGCTTTCTCCCTTTGAAAAACCTCTATTTAGCAGCCATCAATTTTCCCAGATAAACTACACAGGGCATTTTTTTTACAAACTACACAGGGCATGTTCTTGGTTTAAGGTGTTCTCCCCCTTTATGAAGAGATGGCAGCAATATACTCTATATGTTTATTATAAATATTGTATTATAAATTTATTAATCTTGGATTCAAGAATTATAGCATAGAACATGTATTGTCCCTGGCTGGTATATGAAAAACAATGGCTATCTGCAGCCAGCATAGTAAAATAAAAGCCTCCAGATGAAATCCTGGCTCCTGTGTTATCAAGGACAAAATTCTAGATTACATTTCAAATCTCTCTGAGGTAAAATCCTGGCCTCAGATGAGCAATCACTTTAGTACAGCACATACATACCTAAGTAGATATGCATACATACATAGACATTTCAGGCAAGTGCCTGAAAGAAAGGACTTTGGAGATGAAGGACTAATCTTACTGGTGACACAAGGATATTGCCAAATGCTGATGCAAACCCTGGTAACACCTCCAATTGGCCTCTCACCCATACAGGCCTCCCTCCTTCTTAAGGTCACAGCTTTTCCACCCAACCCACTGGGCCATAAGATGCACAGGCAAAAGGATCACAGAATCACAGAAAGGTTTAGCTTAAAGGGTCATTAAAGATCACCTAGTTCCACCTCCCTGCCACAGGGACAACTTTCACTAGACCAGATTGCTCAGAGCTCCATCCAGCCTGACTTTGAACATTTCCAGGTATGGGATGTCCACAACTTCACTGGGCAACTTGTGCCAGTGCCTCACCACTCTCGCAGTAAATAATTTTTTCCCAGTATCTAGTCTAACCCTACTCTCTTTGAGTTTGAAGGCATTCCCCCTTGTCCTGTCACTACATGTCCTTGTAAAAAATGTCTATCTTCATGCAGGGTCCCTTCAGGTACTGGAATGTCACAATATGGCCACCCTAAAGCCTTCTCTTCTCCTGAATGAATAATCCCAATTCTCTCAACCATTCTTCATAGGAGAGGTGCTCCATCCCTCTGGTCATCTTCACGGCTCCCTCTGGACTTGCTCCAATAGGTGCAAGGTGCACAGGTCCTTCCTGTGCTGGTGACCCCAAGAGCTGGATGCAGCACTGCAGATGAGGTCTCAGCTGAGCAGAGGAGAGGGGCAGAATCCCCTCTCTTGCCCTGCCGGCCACACTGCTTTGGATGCAGCCCAGGACACATTTGGTTTTCTGGGCTGGGAGTGCACATTGCTGGGTCATGTCCAACCTCTCATCCACCAGCACCCCCAAGTCCTTCTAGGCAGGGCTGTTCTGGATCTGTTCATCCCCCAGGCTGTGCTCATATCAGGGGTTGTCCCAATACAGGTGCAGGAACTTGCACTTATGCCTTGTGAGATTACTATGGGCTGCTTCTCCCTGGACCAGAAGTCCATCTCTTTGCTATGAGTACAAAGGCTACATTCTTCATACACTAATACTCTTTGCTGACTTGCAAAATTCCCAGAAGAATAGAACTTATTGCTGTGTTAAGGCATTAGGGAGGAACTACAGGATCCATCCTGACATATGGAGAACGATGTAATGGTCCCCTGGATCTCCAGTCCTTCTCTACAAAGAAATAAACACAAGTAATGGTGGAGATTTTAATACTTCAGAGCAAAGCTTAAACCTTCAGAGCAAGGGCCCACTCGGGAACAATGTTTTCCAAACAGAGCAGAAGAGGTACCCTTAGAGGTTAAATGGTTTTGCACCTGTTCCTAAGGGTGCCC